TTAATATAAGATTATATTAGTGTTTTTTTAATTCTTTCGTTGCTTTCATTTATTAAAATTAGATTCACTTTTTAATCTGTGTTGTTGTTATTTCTAATTTTTTTCAAACTTCATATAAAGAATATTATACCGTATTCTTTTTTACTGAATATTCCATGATGTTATTCTTCTTATTATTATTACATTGCTTTTGTTATTACCGCTGTTTTATTATTGTCTATATCGGCGATTCTTAATTGGTGTGTGCGAACTTCTTATAAAAATAACATAAAATTTAAAAAAATAATTACAAAAGCTAATATTTTTCGTATCTTTTAAATATTAAATGACGTTGACGATCTGAAGATCTGTATATAAGTTATATATATATAAAACTTATATACAGATCTTTAACGTCACTTATATAACAGCATTTATATTGCAGCACTGGCTCATTGATGTGCCGCTAGCAGGGGAAAAAAAAAGACCAAACGTTTAAACGAAAATCATATCAAAAAGTTCGTTATTTTAGCCTATCAGCGTTATTAGCCTATTTAATGGAGTTTTTGGAAATGTCAAGGGTGTGAAATGTGGAGAGGGGTGTCTTTGTAACCTACTGTATATTCCTGGCAAGGTTTAGAGAGTAACTATGAATAATTTGAAGCAAATCGGTTAAAGGAATTAGAATTGTATGATGAACAAATATTCTATTATATATATGAAATTTATATATCTAATTCTAGTATATTTATATATATATATGTAAAATCATTAATAACTTTTTTACATCGGGCAAAAAATTTTGTCTATAAATTGCCATTAAAACTGATTATAGGGCCTATACAGTATATGTGTGTATAATTTAGGATAACATTTCAATCATCATTTCTTTAATAAACTATTTAAATACATATTTTAGAAACAGAAAATTAAACATTTACTTTTCGAAATAAACAGAAAATTTACAATTTACACAACTTATAGAAATCAAATGAAAAAAACTTAACTTTTGTTTCAATTAGTGAAGTTCGTTATAACTCATTGCTTAGTAATTATTAATTTAGCTTTTTATGTCATAAATTGCATTAAAGTAGCCATTTTGTTGATAGTATTCTTTTCAATTTTTATGTGATAACAGAAATTCGTTTTAGCGAACTTTAACCAAAGGCATTTTAAAATATTTTTCATCCATTCAAAGGAGTGATGCGGGAAGTTTCTCATTAAAACCTTTCACAGCGCGAAATAACTGTCTAATGAAACGTCGACGACATTCCTTCTTTCCATTTCATTTTTAATTTTGGAACAAAGAACGTATTATCTTTCGGTTTAACTTGTTTATATTTGAAATCTAAAGGATCGCATTTATTGCTAGTTATATACGAATATTTTATTGATTATACGTTAGCAATTTTTTCGATAAAATTTAAAACATATTTGATTTTTTTACCGTAAATATTAAGTGTGATATTGATAGATATGNTCATTAATATAAGATTATATTAGTGTTTTTTTAATTCTTTCGTTGCTTTCATTTATTAAAATTAGATTCACTTTTTAATCTGTGTTGTTGTTATTTCTAATTTTTTTCAAACTTCATATAAAGAATATTATACCGTATTCTTTTTTACTGAATATTCCATGATGTTATTCTTCTTATTATTATTACATTGCTTTTGTTATTACCGCTGTTTTATTATTGTCTATATCGGCGATTCTTAATTGGTGTGTGCGAACTTCTTATAAAAATAACATAAAATTTAAAAAAATAATTACAAAAGCTAATATTTTTCGTATCTTTTAAATATTAAATGACGTTGACGATCTGAAGATCTGTATATAAGTTATATATATATAAAACTTATATACAGATCTTTAACGTCACTTATATAACAGCATTTATATTGCAGCACTGGCTCATTGATGTGCCGCTAGCAGGGGAAAAAAAAAGACCAAACGTTTAAACGAAAATCATATCAAAAAGTTCGTTATTTTAGCCTATCAGCGTTATTAGCCTATTTAATGGAGTTTTTGGAAATGTCAAGGGTGTGAAATGTGGAGAGGGGTGTCTTTGTAACCTACTGTATATTCCTGGCAAGGTTTAGAGAGTAACTATGAATAATTTGAAGCAAATCGGTTAAAGGAATTAGAATTGTATGATGAACAAATATTCTATTATATATATGAAATTTATATATCTAATTCTAGTATATTTATATATATATATGTAAAATCATTAATAACTTTTTTACATCGGGCAAAAAATTTTGTCTATAAATTGCCATTAAAACTGATTATAGGGCCTATANTATATATAAAACTTATATACAGATCTTTAACGTCACTTATATAACAGCATTTATATTGCAGCACTGGCTCATTGATGTGCCGCTAGCAGGGGAAAAAAAAAAAGACCAAACGTTTAAACGAAAATCATATCAAAAAGTTCGTTATTTTAGCCTATCAGCGTTATTAGCCTATTTAATGGAGTTTTTGGAAATGTCAAGGGTGTGAAATGTGGAGAGGGGTGTCTTTGTAACCTACTGTATATTCCTGGCAAGGTTTAGAGAGTAACTATGAATAATTTGAAGCAAATCGGTTAAAGGAATTAGAATTGTATGATGAACAAATATTCTATTATATATATGAAATTTATATATCTAATTCTAGTATATTTATATATATATATGTAAAATCATTAATAACTTTTTTACATCGGGCAAAAAATTTTGTCTATAAATTGCCATTAAAACTGATTATAGGGCCTATACAGTATATGTGTGTATAATTTAGGATAACATTTCAATCATCATTTCTTTAATAAACTATTTAAATACATATTTTAGAAACAGAAAATTAAACATTTACTTTTCGAAATAAACAGAAAATTTACAATTTACACAACTTATAGAAATCAAATGAAAAAAACTTAACTTTTGTTTCAATTAGTGAAGTTCGTTATAACTCATTGCTTAGTAATTATTAATTTAGCTTTTTATGTCATAAATTGCATTAAAGTAGCCATTTTGTTGATAGTATTCTTTTCAATTTTTATGTGATAACAGAATTTCGTTTTAGCGAACTTTAACCAAAGGCATTTTAAAATATTTTTCATCCATTCAAAGGAGTGATGCGGGAAGTTTCTCATTAAAACCTTTCACAGCGCGAAATAACTGTCTAATGAAACGTCGACGACATTCCTTCTTTCCATTTCATTTTTAATTTTGGAACAAAGAACGTATTATCTTTCGGTTTAACTTGTTTATATTTGAAATCTAAAGGATCGCATTTATTGCTAGTTATATACGAATATTTTATTGATTATACGTTAGCAATTTTTTCGATAAAATTTAAAACATATTTGATTTTTTTACCGTAAATATTAAGTGTGATATTGATAGATATGATTTACTCGAGTATCTCAATGACCTATTTTGTTACATTACAATAGATTTTTCGCTTCGCTTCTTCGTCAAACATGATTTTCAAACAATAATCTTTCCATGATTAAATCTTGTAATGTTAAATATGTAACTAAGGAACAAGAATATTAAATTTGTATAAGTCTATATATATTAAGCAAATTTTTAAAGATTTTTAATTTTTTCTCAAAATTTCTTCGTGAAAATCATTTCTTCCGAGATGATACTTTTACATTACTCATAATCAATATACCTGCATTACTTTGAATGATGTATTTAAATTATTTAAATTGTTAAAAATGAATTTGTAATCACTTTCCTAACCGACTTTGTTTCTTTTTCTTATTTTTACTTATTTTTTCAAACGATAAAAATAAATACTTACATTCTTCTTTTCAATTTATCGGTGCCCATAGTAACATTTCTCTTCACTAAATTTTTTAATCCGTGTATTTAGTACTACTGATGTTCGAATAAAATTTGTGCTACAATGTGATGTCTGATGTAAATTAATTATAAAAATTATCGGCTTTAAAATATTCTTTATCTTACTAGTAAAAAAAAATTAATTAGAAACAGGCTCTTGCGTTTCTTTAATAAAAATAAAAAGTAAAACAAGATTTTCGTTTAGAAATTCGAAGAAAAAAAAATGAATGAAGTCGAATTTTTTTGGAAACTGAAACAAGAAATAAAAATAAAATTATGTTAATTTTTATGAAATTTTTTAAATGGTTGTTTTAAAAATATTTGATATTTTTATTATATTTTTTTTGTTTTGTCGTATAACATTTATTATTCAATTTAATTATTTAAAATCTTAGATAAGAACCTTTTTTTCCGAAGGTTTCCTTTCGTTTAGCAGTAAATATCTTCATCCAAAAGAGCAATGAGACAATAAAAATCAAGATAAACTTTTAAGAATCCATTCAAGACAAAAATCAAGATAGATTTCATCGAGTAGAAAAAATAAATAAAAAAAATAAAATAAATTCTAAAACTTTAATTAAACAGATTTTTTTTTAAATATTAAACGTTCAAATAAATTTACATTTNAATTTCAAAGAGTATTAATGTTTTATTATGTGTTTGCTATTAAAGTTGTACATAAAATTTTTTTTTTAAATATTTCCTTATCTGAATTGAGTTTTTGCTTTGTTTCCATATTTTTCAATGGGAAATAAGTTTAGAAAGTGGGATCTATTAGTATTGTTTACGGTTAGTAATGATTGCTAAATATTGGGTGGATGCATTTAACCTCAGAAACGTCGATCGTCCCAAAGTGGGCATAGAAAGACACTTGGGTATTTTTGGTAGAAACAACAGATTGAATCTTTATTCTTTGAGAAAGATCGATAAGACGGGATGTTTTTAACATTAATAAATAAAATGAAATAAAAATTCCGATATAAAAATAAAAATTGAAATATTTTCCTTGTCTTTCAAACTGACATTCTTAAAATTTCTTATTTAAATATTTTAAAAATAACAATTTAATTAATTGAATGTATGATGTAAACTGGAATAAATTATATTTATTAAATTATAAGAACAGGATAGTTTTTATGTTATTAAATATTTATGAGTTTCAATAATGATTTTCAGAGCCTCAAGGTTGGATGCCCCAACTCACAGAAGAGAACGTCATCTTGATAGCCGGTGTGGCATCAGCCATTGTGATCATTACTATCATAGTAGCTGCGGTTATGGTTCTAAGGAACAGGAGAACTCACAGTGAGTATGACTGCCGGGTGGGTGAAAAGGTTGACAACAGATGATGATGATTAACCATAGAGAAGTCGCGATATTAATCATTCTGTCGGGTGTTTGGTGTCATTCTTGTAATAGGAAACGACTGTCATCCTGCAGTAACAGCTGGAACGGCTCAGAATTGATCCGCGCGCCTTGTGACGTCATTTGCGGCGCCGATGTGACAGATCGTAAGCAAATATTCCCTTTGTAGCCTGACGAGGCGTGGCTTGTCTCATTTCCCTTTCACTCTCTGTCATTTTAAACAATTCCCTTTCTTTGTCACCTGCAGACGGATTTGTACACCTCATCAGAAAATGTAATTTCGAAAATGACGTCGTATGTATGTTAGTCGAGGTGGCGACCATCATATATTTAATCAATCTCTGCCACTCAAAAGTGACAGGACAAGAATTTCTCATTAGATGATGTTGATTCAAGTAGAGAAATTAGTCCAATAAATCACGAAATGGCAGGCATTTTGTTAGTTTGTCGTGATAGGTAATCTGATATCTGTTAAACTGCCTTAATTATTAATAATTAGGTCTTTAATGAGTTATATAATGGTCGAAGTTCTTATATTTATTTCTCGAATATTAAAAATGCATTTTTAGTAGACTAAGAGAAATATGTGTTGTTGGCTGGAAATCCCAGATAAGAAATTTTGTAAATCTTTTATTTGACCATCATCAGTCTCGCGCTGATGCCCTCCATTGTGTATCTTCCGCCAGTTATTTCAGGTGTAAAGAAACTACTCTTTAATTTAGAGCCCAAGAAAGCTGACACAACCTTTCTTTCCATTCGCCTTCCTCAAACAAGGTAAAGGAATTAAGGATCCTGCTCAGCAAAGTTATCTCTCAACCGATTTAAGACTAACGTAATACAGAAGAGGATTGGAGGTGAATACCCTTGTGACAAGCTTCTTTCAATTAGAAGAAAGGGCGTCCAACTAGATTTCTTTGAAGTTCGACCACAAGAAGAGATGTTATTCTCCGGAGATTTTCGAGAAAGTAACAATTATTACAAAGGAAGTCTTCGTCCGAATATAGTTACTTACTATTTTTATATAATAGATAAAAATTAACGATAACTTCACTTGCTCCGAAATCTAGTTTAGTGGTTGAAAAAAAATATTTTTTTCTTATTTTTCTATTATTAAATTTTGCAAAACTTTTTCGTTTGTGGCGATTTCGAGTTTAATAACATCTTGCGTTGGTCTCATTAGTTCTGTCTCTTTATTAAATTAATTTTTAATTTGTCAATTCTTACCTCAGACTAATTACTCGACAAGTTGATTAGTAACGCTGATAGCATTATCTCAGTGATTAAAATTCTCAAACAGTAACAGAAAACTTATGATATATTATTCCAGATAGTTTTTTTATATTATTATTAAATTTTGTTTAAAGAACTAAATTAGATAATCGTTACGACTGGCTCGATTTATGTCTAAGAAAATGATATAGTAAGCCACTTACAACGAGTTTAATACGTTAAAAAAAATTTTGTAGAGGTAAATTCTTATAAATTTTATGAAATGAAAACACCTGGACTCGTCTCATCAAAATCACTATAGAAAAAAAGATGGAAGAATGGGCTGATAGTCTTAGAACATGTAACATTAATAATACCTTTGCCGTGATAAAGTATACTGTAGATCATGGAATACTCCAGTTATGATACAACTAATGCCCTCTAATATTTTATTTCTACTCGCAACTATCCAAAATTTCATTTATCTTATAGTAAAGTATTTTAGGTTCAAGGCTTTACAGGTTTTTCTTTTCTATTTTGTTTTTTTTTTTGTAAGTAATTGAGACGTGAAGGTTCAATATTTTCAAATAATTGACGAGCGCAAGAAAGCAATTTCTTAATACATAAAATGATTTAAGTCTAAGTTTATTTAATTTTATATTAAAAAATTAATCATATTACTTGCTTAAAATGAATTGAAATTAATTTATAAGTAATTTTTTTGTTTTTATAATTATAAGTTCGATTTAGAAAGATCGTGAATTAAATCTAAAGGATATTTTAAAGATTATCTGTTTTTTGGGAGGATAATAATTCAGTAAACATTATATCTATATTTTAAGCTGTGTTACATAAAGAGTGTACTTAAATTTCAAACAGTATTAATGTTTTATTATGTGTTTGCTATTAAAGTTGTACATAATATTTTTAAAAAATATTTCCTTATCTGAATTGAGTTTTTGCTTTGTTTCCATATTTTTCAATGGGAAATAAGTTTAGAAAGTGGGATCTATTAGTATTGTTTACGGTTAGTAATGATTGCTAAATATTGGGTGGATGCATTTAACCTCAGAAACGTCGATCGTCCCAAAGTGGGCATAGAAAGACACTTGGGTATTTTTGGTAGAAACAACAGATTGAATCTTTATTCTTTGAGAAAGATCGATAAGACGGGATGTTTTTAACATTAATAAATAAAATGAAATAAAAATTCCGATATAAAAATAAAAATTGAAATATTTTCCTTGTCTTTCAAACTGACATTCTTAAAATTTCTTATTTAAATATTTTAAAAATAACAATTTAATTAATTGAATGTATGATGTAAACTGGAATAAATTATATTTATTAAATTATAAGAACAGGATAGTTTTTATGTTATTAAATATTTATGAGTTTCAATAATGATTTTCAGAGCCTCAAGGTTGGATGCCCCAACTCACAGAAGAGAACGTCATCTTGATAGCCGGTGTGGCATCAGCCATTGTGATCATTACTATCATAGTAGCTGCGGTTATGGTTCTAAGGAACAGGAGAACTCACAGTGAGTATGACTGCCGGGTGGGTGAAAAGGTTGACAACAGATGATGATGATTAACCATAGAGAAGTCGCGATATTAATCATTCTGTCGGGTGTTTGGTGTCATTCTTGTAATAGGAAACGACTGTCATCCTGCAGTAACAGCTGGAACGGCTCAGAATTGATCCGCGCGCCTTGTGACGTCATTTGCGGCGCCGATGTGACAGATCGTAAGCAAATATTCCCTTTGTAGCCTGACGAGGCGTGGCTTGTCTCATTTCCCTTTCACTCTCTGTCATTTTAAACAATTCCCTTTCTTTGTCACCTGCAGACGGATTTGTACACCTCATCAGAAAATGTAATTTCGAAAATGACGTCGTATGTATGTTAGTCGAGGTGGCGACCATCATATATTTAATCAATCTCTGCCACTCAAAAGTGACAGGACAAGAANTTTAAATTAGACTTAAATAATTAAATTAAATATACATTTGCATAATTATTTTTAACTAGCTAAAGATTAATTAATTTGATTGCATTAAATTCGAATTAATTGATAAGTATTATTATTATTATAATTATACGTAATTTAAAAATTATTTGATAAAAATATTTATTCGAAAGTTTGTTAAAATTAGTTTAATTCTGTAATAAATGTTTAAGAATTTTCAAAGTCATAAAGAGAAGAAATAAAGAAAGTAATGAGTGTAATTTCATACTACTTTTCTGAATCTGATAACTATTAACAATTCTGATTTCGACTCTTAAAACCAATGTTTCTAATTATGTTAAAAGATAAACATTTTTAAGAATCGTTTGGTTAAAATATCGGAAATATCAAGTGTGTGAAGATGAAATCGTGGTTAAAGGTTGTCATGGAAACACATTACTGGCTATTTTCGCTCCAAAAACTTCAGCGAGAGGATCGAATTGTGTCTCTGGTTAGGTTTATAGGGCTATTTTGTAAAGTACGTGACCAGATTTTTGGTAAAGAATCCGTATCTCAACAGAATGACAATATAACAGCCAAAGTTTTTGCTTGATATCAAGATATGATTTTCGATTCAGTCCTTCAAGGTAAGGTTGTTCGTGTTCTGTAAATTGAAGAGATATAACATGTCAACAAGCAGGTGCGATGTGAACATTATAATAAGTGGGTTATTTGCTGAATTTTATATATTTCTTAAAAGAGACCGTTTAAAGAAAGTAAGAGACATAACTTTAGTGTGAGCCTGTTATGTTAGTAACGATCTACTTTCTGCATCATTTAGTGCTACAGATGTTTATTGTTTTTCATATGATTTTTATAATGCATCTTATACTTTTTGAATGACTGTGATTATCGGTAGATTTGCATCGTCATCAGGATAATAAAGACTTTAGAAAAGGAAAACTTCCAGATTTTAGGAGTTCGAAATGAACTAAAAACAATTTTTATAGAATCGAAAATATGAAAACTAAAATTATTTTTATTTATAACTTGCAGAGTTGAAAAATATTTACTTTAAAATAGTTATAAGAATATTGCACAAGATTTCGGAAAAATCAATAAATTTAATTATATTTTGTATATCAGACTGAAAATAACTGAGATCAGGCGGATAACTTGAAAATATTCTTTTAAATCCGCACTTAATTAAATAATATTAACATAAAAATTCCATTACAATATTAAATTTAAAGTTGCGTTTCATGAAGCTTCTTGATTCTCTCGTTTCATACTTTTTTATTTGTTTCTATAAACAATATATAGAAAAAATGAATGACATTTAAATATTATATATCATATAATGAGTAAATTATTAATAAAATTAATTATTAAATTAAACATACAAAATACATTTTCTTCGATTGGAACGTAAGAACTTGAATCTCTTCTTATTCTTTATTTATAGATATAAACTTTGATATAAAAATTATATTAACCAAACCGTATATATATATATATATATGTAGTTTGTATCAATAAACAAACATTAAAAAAATCCAATTTCAAACTTTAGTCCAGAAGGACGTGTGCAGCCATCGGAATCCATCCCTGTCAACAAAACAGCTCTGTCAATAAAACCATCAGGTATGAAAAAGAATAAAAAATAATAATAAAAAAACGCTGGTATTTTTATTTATAACAAATTACAAGTAGAAAAAAATATAAAATTACTTGTAAAAATTAGAAAAAATAATATTTATATCTCCAAATTCTTATTATTTTTTAAAATATTACTAATTCCTTAACATTCTTTAAAACATTAATTAATTAATTTTGTATTCGTAATTTATGCAATTTGTACTAATGAAAGTTAAACAAAATTAATTAATTAATTAATTAATTTGTTATTATTATTATTATTATTATTTTAATTTTCTGCATGATTATTTTTCGTTCCCTGCATGATTTTGCTTGCTCTTTATTTAGTAGTCACATTCAGACGTGTACCTGATTTCGCAGTTCCTAAATCAGAAAGAAGAGGTAATTCTTTTTAATACCTTTATATAATTTATTTTAATTTAAACACGATTAAAGTACAACTTAAATAATCAACACAAAATTAAATTCTTTAAACAATTAAATAATTTAAGTAATACGGATTAAAATATGATTTTTTTTAAATATCCTTTAAACACAATTACTTATTGCATGTGACGAATTGTTAATTAATTTTGCTTTGATTTAATGTGAAAATGCGTATGAATTTATTCTTATGTTGATGTAATGTAATTTGGCGTTACTTTATGAAAAAATAAAGATTAATTTTCTTGTCCATTAGATGTAAATAATCCTACAAAAGGTAAGGCAGGAGGAAGTAAGCCTGTTTATCAAAATGTTACAACAGGAAAAAAAGATTCATCGGAAAGCACAGCCAAGTATGAAAACATGACATTTCATCAAAAAGATCCGAGAAGGGTAAGTAATAAGCTACAGTAATGTAAATTCGATAAATTGAATTTAAAAAAAAATACCGCTCCATTAAACATTTATTATTATTATTATTATTTTCCGATTAATGAATTTGATTTTCTAAGATATTAGATGTAGCTTTAAATAAACTTATTTATTATAGTTAAGAATATAAGCTTTATAAATTTATCAACTTTTTCCAATATAAATGAGCTATATAATAGAGATAATATGTATTAAATTTACTATAAATTTAATTAATGTGAAAGTTAAGTAATTAATGATAAGAATCGAATAAATAATAAGTTATAAATATTTAAAAATCATTAAAAAAAAACGATAGGTAATATTATTCTTAGTTGCTTCATTATTGCTTATTTAGTTGCTTTTTAGCAATAGTAAAATGCTTGTTACCTGCTTGTTACCTCTGATGTTTGCTTGCATGTATTGCTTGCTTGATTCAGCCCAAAACCCCCATTCCCAGTGTGAGAATGAGAACTGCCTTACCTGTCAGCCACGTATATGAGAATATATCTCGCTTGAAGCACAGCAGGCCACTTTCTAGTGGAGCTACCGTCGTCACTCTCGGTGGGGATCAACAAACAACTAGAAGCCTCGAAAAAACATCATCTAACCACGTCCAGAAATCACTACCGTCTCTCAGATCTCAGCATGGGGACGAATCTCTAATACTGATCAATGATAACGATATTGGTTCTACTCCTTTGAAAGATAAAGAAAATAATAATATAAAAGTGGAATACACTTTATCTTCGCAGGCAAAAATGAAGGTTGGTGAAATTTCTTGGACAGTACTGTAGAATGCACTTATATATTTTTGTTTTTTCCCCTCCTCCTCTCTTATTTTTTTATGTTTAAATTTTGTTGAAAGCTTTTTCTACTTTTTTCACGCTTTAAATTTAAATATGAATTTTTGAGTAACTACAAAACTTAATGGAAATGAACGTTTTTATTTCTCCTGTTTTTTTTATCTTCAGAGACCAGCAGTCATTATTAATATATTACAAGCGAATTTTTGTAAAAGCAATTTAAAACAATGATTATTAATTATCAACTTGGGTATAAGAATCGAAATTAAAATAACGATTTATAATATTAAATCGTAGGAATAATTTGAAAAAAAATGAATTAATGCGAAAGGGATGTTTAAATTAAATTAAAATTATATACACCTTATTTATTTTCGAATAATGATAATAAATTTAAATACTAAATATTTCTAAATTGCGCTTTCACCTTTGAGAGTTGTAATGAGAGTTTTCTGCCCTTTAAGGTTACATGTAATGATTAATAATAATAATAACAATGAAGAAAATAACAAAATCAATATTTTAGATTTATCAAACATCCCCTAAGGTGCGTTTTTAAAAAAAATAAAACAAAAATTCTTCAAGCGGCATTTAATTTTCCATAAAATTATCCACCTTATATAAGTCCATTCAGTTTACCTTCGAATCAATTCAAACTTCTAACTGTAAATGACGACTCATCACCATTATATCGTTTATCGCACCGATAGCTTTAGCCACAGAAGGTAATGTGTTTCAACTATTATCTGCAAAATACCATTGTTAGGGAAATATATACTGAAGAGTGCAATTTTCGATCTAGAGGATCCCCTCAGTTATCTGTGGCAGAAATAGCTCCATTCCACTTCTGTAGGGGAAAGAAATATGAAAAAAAAAGTAAAAAATAGCGGGGTCTGTCATGAACAATATCAGAAATGAAATCTGTGGACAGACTGTCCATTTTTTTTTTGTTTTTTTAGTTTCACTGCATGAATAGAAGGAATATCCAGCTGCCACTAAAGTAGTATAGCAAAAGAAACTTTTTCTTCCTTTTTTCGTTTTCATCTTTCCTTATCTCAATTTTTAATATATGAATTGTAGTTACTGCTGAAAATTACAAAACTTTTACGAGATATTAAACGAATTTTTTATAGAATGCTGTAAAACTGTTGTGTTTTGCCTGATTAGACTTTGCTGTTAAAAAACTGCAGCTTTCGAAAAATAATAAATCATAGTGAATTCGAATTATGTTCCTAAATTATCAGCAAAAAATTTTTTACTTTGGGATACAATATCAAAAATGTCAGAAATATACGCGAAATTGGATTTGGCTTATAAAAAATTTGTACTTATTTTTCCTCTAAAAAAAGAATATAATTTAATTTCTACGAGGCTATGATAACTTCTCTTTTGAAGAATCTCTCTTTCATTATATTTCTACAAATCAAACTTATTCTTCAAGAGCTCACTTCCTTATTTTGATCATTCTTCATAATTAATTCCAAATTCTTTAACAAAATTGTACCAACGCATTGATTTCAGACTAATCCAGAAGGTGTTGTATATGCGGATCTGATGTTACCTAATCATGGACGGAGTTTGGTCGGAAGGAAAGGATCATGCACAGAATACGCCACTTTGAAGTTCGAAAAAGAAGAGAATGGAACTCCTGAGTGTAAGTTTCGAGACTAATAGCATAAGGGTCAGCCAGTTGACCTTTAGTTCTATTGCCCAAGGCAGACACAATGGTACAAATTAATGTGGACAGGTTAGCGTTGAAGACAAATGGTCCACTCATCCTGCCAACTGCAGCTTTGGTCAGTTGAACCTTGATGTCCTAAAATGCTGTCCAATATTCCATTAGCCTCTCCTTGCTGGTAGTAGAGGCGTAACCTTAACTAGAACTAAATTTGTCCTTCACTCCTAATCACAACTTTATCCTTCAAAGTACAATCCTTATTACATGTTTTGGTTGAAATTCTATCAATTTTATAACACCATTAATGAATAGATGATTTTTTAAATATATAATATAATGATAAAACGATGGTATTATTCAGTATTTATTATTAATATGTAAATAACGAAGATATAAAATGTTAATGTGATTAATAGGGATTAAACTTAGATGTAATGGGAATTTTATAATTGCAGGAAAATTTGAAGATTAAGGTAATTTTATGCAGATTATTTTATACCTTTACATAGTGTAACGCTATGTAAGAGTAATTTTTAAAAAATAATATTATGAATCGAGTTGTTCCTTTTATTATCCCGTAGCACTCCAATCTCGACGACAATAACGACGCTGATTCTGACGATAGATGGAGCGAGCGGTCAACACCACCGCTGCTTCCTCGAGGGATAACTCTGCCTGTGCCTCCAAGACCCCAGACAAAGGCTCCATCTCGTGACAAAACGAGGAACTGATCAGCCCCGTATCTATGGCGTTAAATAGAGGTGGCTGTTGGCTAGCTTTGTACCGGGAGTATCGACCAGAAGGTGTGAATGTCCGTCCTGTACTGTAGCTGACAGCTCAAATGACCTATATAAATATATAAAAATTATATATATAAATATATATACACACACAACAAACTGCAAATGCAGTATTTGCACTGCTGTTCCATATCAGTGTTTGTGTGCGGGGACAATTTTTATGGAGCAATGTCGCTACAGCTGTGATGTTTTATTTTGTTCTATTTTGTTTTGTAATTTTAAAAAAAGTCGGGATGATCGGTTACATCCCTGTTACGGATCGCTCGTCAGATTCCCTCCTCATTCAGCTCCCTTCGACCCTCTCTCTACAGTTACCGAAATGTTTGTACTTTATTGAATAACAGCTGTCAGATTGATCTATGGGTTGTTAGAATTCATGACATGTGAGAGCTAAAGAAATAATAAACATTTATAAAGAAATTTGCTGTGTCTATTCTCTATCGCTCCTTTTGTTCCTGAAGAGAGACCATGTGCAAAGTTTCTCTTTATGTTCACTCGATAATTTTGTTTTTACTCCAACAATAAATGGTTTAACTATTCATTAAGCTGAGAAACTTTTATTATCTCTTAAAGCAACCGACGAAGAAATTACAGTATTGTTCCCTCATGAGGGTTATCAACTAGCTACGGTTCTACAAACATGACAAAATTCGAAATTAAAAATATTTTAATGTTTGAATAAAATATATAATTTCTGTCGCTGAATTTTTGAAGTATTATGTTAAAAAATTTTATCATAATTAAAACGAAAGAATAAAAGGAAAAAAATTTATATATTATCGTTAACGAGATTTTTTAATACGACTTTTAAATTGGTTTTCTTAAAAGAAGAATTAATTGCTGAATACTTTTTTAAAAAATCATATTTGATAACTTAGATAAAAATTTTGATTTTTACATTGTACTTTCTGTAAAAAGTTAATTAAAATATATTAAAATTTTAATTTGAGCAGTTTAAAGTTATTATTTTTCATGCAGAAACATTAATAAAATTGTGAAAAAGTTAATATTCATATGGCTAACGGGTATCAATCGAGAATATAAAAAGGACTTTGAAGAAATGCTGATAAATTTTAATGAACCTAAAAACGTTTCGTTCCGTTGAATTTAACTGAAGTTATTCACGGAAATAAACGTTTGAGATTCATTAAAAATTTACACGGCATCGTCAAAATTATGTTTTTAAATGCGATTACGATGTAGCATGTAAAAAAACTAGTCGAATATTTTTTTAAATAGTACCATCTATTTAATTATTATTAGAAAACGTGTTTCGATATTCTACGAGTTGATTTAAATGCTAGTTCATAGCAGTAACGCTTTCCAATACAATGTTTCTGAGTAATATAGCACGAAGCTGTGATATTGTATGGCCCGAAGCAGTTAAAGTTTTCGGAGATTTGCAATAGTTTCCGTGGCACTGGATACGAACTAAACCTATATCTGCTCTCTAAATGTCTGCACATTTTCCTGACGTGTTCCGGCCTATCTGACACCAGATGTCGTTCCGTTTGAGTAATGGTTTCCTGGCCGATGTTTGGATCTGATAACCCTATCTGACGGAGTTTGGGACAATGTCCGATCTGGCAGCTTGTCCTCTGCAGGCGACACAGGTCGCTAAATGTCATCTACTAACCTCCAAATACTGACCGAAGATCAACAAAATATTTGGCCACGATGGAAAATGTGAAGAAAAAACTGTTTCTACCAACCATCCCTTCTGGCATTTTCCGATTTTCTAAGGTTTGAATGGATACAAAAGGTTATTTCTTTTTGCCAAATGTCATCATTCAAAAAATTTTAAAAAGTTTGACTTTTAGCGTAGATAAGAGAAGAGAATGTTTGTGCAATGCACTCGAATGCTACATGATATCTTACAGATATCTAAATGGAAAAATTCAGTCGGAAAAGTTATTTCTGATATAAATTATTCGGGATTTTTGTACGAGAGCCTTTTACATCTTCAGTTTGCAGACTCAGTGATATAGTACATAGCCTAACCTATTTTTCAAATTGCATGGATAGAAATAAATCGAATTGGAATGTTCGAAAATTTCTCAGTATAAAGAGAGATTATACAAGAATTTATAAAAATAATATTTTGTTAAAACATTCCGAATAACATTTACAGAAATAAATATTAAACATTTTCTTTTTATCCCCCTGTGCCATGTAATTCTTTATCGTTTCTTGACACCTCAGATCTTTCATATTTAGTAGATATAACTTTTAATATTTACTTATTGAACACGACTCGATTGTCATTCGTTTCATAAGTAGTACATGCATTTTACAACTTATGTAACATATGACAAGCGTCGTAAAAAAGTTGGCAGATGAGAAATGCACGAGAAGTTTCATCTTGCCAAAACTCATGCACATAACGTATAATACTTGTCTAGTTGACTGAAGAGAAATCTTAGTTGAATATCAAACAGTCGATCTTCTCATAATATGGTTTCTACTCACGACAGAAACATCTTACAACATTTCTTTTTTTTTCTTTTTATTTTCAAATTACCATAATGACTTTTCTGGAAACTTGAAATGATAAGAGCGGTTTTTAAATTGCTACCATTCTTATATCTTTGTCTACTTATACAAAATAAAGTTATTTAATGAGCTGTGTTCTTTTTATCTTTTAAAGAAAAACAAGAAACAAAACAATTACATTCAGATAACAGTAGAAAACTTTAATGAATTATATGTAAGTTAAAGTTCTATTTTTTCCTCAATTTGTTATTCTACAGGAAAAAAATTCAACAAAAATAAATGTTAATTAATGTGAATAATAAATTAAAATTGTAACTTTAATAATAAACATATTACATTAATTAAAAATTTATAACAAAATTATAAATAAACTAAATGAAATGGAAGAATTTAATTTTTCTCTTCAGTAAAATCAGTAAATAAATTTAATTACAATCAATGTAATTAATATATATTATTTATTTTCGAAAATAATAATAAAAAATAAATAACTGATTAAATTAATTACATCAAAGAAAATTGGAAATATCCGAAAAAACGAAACTTTATTTTATTAAAAAAAGTAAGTGTCGAGAAGATTAAAATGGTAAAGAAACGTATCACCAGAGGGCGACACGAGGGCGGCCACTTTGTCTACTTTCTGTTAAAAAATGGCTTTCTTTGACATTTACTTTGAAAAGAGTTATGTGTCAATAAAGACGAGATAACAAAGAAATGTCATACGATACATTAAACAGAATTCTTTAGTTTTAGCCTAGTACGCGGTTAAGTACTCTTCCATTACTCTACCTTATCGCCCATTTTTATATATAGCACGTCATATAACATTATTATTGATTAAAATAAAAGCAATTTATCATTATTGCTAGAATTTCAGTATTGCAAGAATTTCAGAAATTATTTTATTAAGTTCGAAACTTTTCGAATCGCTTTAACAAAATTGACTTTTTTTCCCTCGTTTTTTTTTTTGTTAATAAAAAGACTTATTCACTTTGTTTTCTAATTAAAAATCAAATATATAGTAGGCCTATACCCTTATATGAGCTCCTCCTTCATTTACACTTCNTTTAAATAGTAGCGTTATAAATCGTAAAATTTTAAGAAAATTAACTTTTATAGATGTAATAAAAATAACGAAGGCAACTAGTTGACGCTTCCGTTTTATAGTCTAACGATAAAGAATCATAAGTCTAATAACCATTAATATCTATTCTAAAAATATATAAGATATTATTAAATGTGGTAGAATATCGGTTTGTTATATAAAAACATTTATTAAATAAATCTTAAAGATAAATCAAAAATTTTAATTTCAATATTAATAATTAGAATATATATATTTTTTTTCACTTCTTTCTAATATTTTTTGCCTTATCCTTAAGCTGCATTTAATATAGAATTAATTTCTTTTTATATATTAAATACTGCTTAGTCGGTAGAAAACAGTCTTTATATTTTATATTCCATAATCTTTAAATCCTTAAATTTGAACGGAAGTTTTCAGCGTTTAAAATGAAATGATTGAGCATCCTCTTTCCAAATAAGTATAATCTCTTTCAAGTTTAGAAATCACGTAAATAACGATTCTATATCCATTTTTTAACTTTTCAGTAGACTGTAAATAGAAAGTTTGAAGTTGGACAGTATTGAAAAGTATTGGCCGATTTTATTTTTTTGTCAAGGTTATAACCAATTGACAACCGATTCTGTAATCTCCTTACATTTGTTCGAACACGAATCTTTGAAGGATTTTCAAATGCTACAGGGTACGCTAACGTCAGCTTTTACTTTTGGAACTTTGTCCAAAATTCCTTCAAAATTAAACTTCGGTAATATGTGTTATGCGATGTGATTTGAGAATCATATTGCTTAAAGGCTGAAGAATTACTACCTGAATTTTTTCTCCTCCTCCTCCTTTCTATCTCTCCAGATAAAATCGAATTTATGAAACTTTCGAAACTGCATTAATGTGAATTAATCGTAATTTTGCATGCAGGAATTTTATTGAAGTATTTATCGGAAAAAGTATAAATATCAAGTGAACATTTAATTTTCATTCGAAAAATTCTTCTATTTTTTTTTCTTATCACAAATTTTCCAATTACTCTGACTAATGACCCTATTAATAGTCTCACTTTTAAATTAAGCATAAATTTGATTCATTTATATTTGACTAAGTATCTGTTTTTTTATTATTATTATTGTAGTAGTAGTCAGATGTAATTTATAATAAACATAAATTTTGTTAGAAGATATTTATAGCCAAAAAAATTGAATTTTAATTTAACTTTTTAAATAAAAATAAAAAAATCATATTTTTATACTCTCATTCAGGAAATTTCATATGTTATATATTAATAAGCTGCCAGATACTTTGTTTAAATTGGAAACTAATTTTAGAGTAATAATAATACCAAAAATATGCCGAAATATTACCTCTAATCACATAAAAGTCCTAACAGATTAGATTCTAGCGAGGCATTTTGTTATCGCTGCAATCTCTTATCTCCGAGCTATTTTACCCTTTAACTGCCATCCATATATAAGCCATTTCGTGGTATATGCGTGACATTATTAGTTTTTCGTGACATAGTTTCGATTTTCAGATAATATCTCGGATATATAGCATAATCACTTGATATCGGTATCAGTTGTTACGAGGTTACAATTATCTTTCAAAAAGATGAAGTTTATTCCCTCGAGATATCTCGTAGACATTTTCTACTAGACTATATCCGAGCCAATCTCTTCTTATGTGGAGTTTTCCTTTATCCTAAACAGAGAATATAATGGATAAAGATTCTAACGCTTCGAAGACATAATTGTTATCGATAATATCTTCGCTTTCTATTGATACTCGGCTGAATATAGTGAAGAAAAATCCTCTGTCACTACTACCTTTGATCAGATATTACTTTTAAAATGTGTATTCTTCAAGCAGGATATCTTATCTGAAATTGAAAGCACAAAAAGGTTAAAAGAATTTCCAGATTTACTTCGTTACCATAATTAAAGTAATTAAAACAGTATTAAAATGTAAAAGGAGTTAAACCTTATTATAATTCTGACCTCTCTAGATATGATAATTTTAAATAGTAGCGTTATAAATCGTAAAATTTTAAGAAAATTAACTTTTATAGATGTAATAAAAATAACGAAGGCAACTAGTTGACGCTTCCGTTTTATAGTCTAACGATAAAGAATCATAAGTCTAATAACCATTAATATCTATTCTAAAAATATATAAGATATTATTAAATGTGGTAGACGTAGCG